TCGCACCAGGGGCATACCTGGTGAGCCCTGCAGCCAGCCAGGCCGAGCAGGGGGGCTCTGAGCCAAGGGGCTGGATTTTGTATGGGCTGCTCAGGCCCCAGAGCGTGCTCTGAGCTCTGCCTGTTTTTGGTCTTCCAGTCCGCAGCCGCCACAGCCCCAGGTCCCCGAGACTCCCTGGGCAGATGAGGGCGGCTCCGTTTATCACCTGACCGACGAAGACTTTGACCAGTTTCTGAAGGAGCACTCCTCTGTCCTCGTCATGTTCCACGCCCCATGTGAGTGGAGCCTTGCTCCTCCCCACCATCTCCTTCCCCCCTCAGCGTAGGAGGCGCTGCTCTGGGATGCGAGTCCACTGAGCGCCTGCTTATCGGATGCCTCCTCGGTGCCGGGGGTGCTCTGGTGCCAGGCGAGGTCCCTGCCTTCACGGTGCACGCAGCCCACCTGCATCCCCCAAGTCCCAGTCGGGCTGCACGTGCCCCTCAGCTCCGCCTGGCAGACCCGAGCCACTTCCTCCAAGTCAGCGTGAATCAGGAAATGCAAGTGGATTTCCCAGAACTGGAGGAATTAGGACCGGAAGGGCCATTAGATATTGCCTAGGACAGTAATCACCCCTCATCTTACAGGTGGGGAAACTGAGGCCTCGAGAGGGCCATATGTTGCCCAGCAACTGGGAGGGCACAGTGAGGCCAGGGCTGGAGCCTCAGACCCCCCAGCATCTAGAATGCCTTCCTTCTGCTTCACTGGGGCCAGTCACAGCCTGAAGCAGCCACAGTGAATCAAGGAAGGAAATTGCCCCTGCCCCCAACCCAAGTCACCCATGAGCATAGAATAGAGTAAGGGCTTAACAAATGAGAACATGAACAAATGAAGTTGTAAAATGTGTTTGCAATATGGATAGAAGGCCTGTAGCTCAGGATTTTCCTAGGCCAGTGTCCTCCCCATGCCCATGAAGAATGGAGATTGGTTGTAATTCATTTCCAAAAGGGAGAAGGCTGCTCTTGTAAAGTGAGAAAGGATGGTGTGAGAGCAAGGGATGACAGCCTGGGGCACAGAGCTCCTGGGAGTAGTACTGGGAGAGGGTGGGCCCATTCAGGGCGGGCCCATCCCGATGGGTGAAGAAGGTAGGTCGTTGGCACCCTAGGACACAGGGTGTATATGTGGTGGGTGCTCTTGTTTTGTAGCTTCTCACCAGTTCTTTGGCCCAATGATAGAGAAGAAGAGATTGTGGAGGAGAAAAATAAAACAAAAAATAACTGCCAATCAGTGTCGTAATTGTCCAGTCCATATTCAGTGACTATATTATTATCGTCTTAGTTATAGGGATCCTCATGATAACAGTGGGCTTCATTCTATGGTGATAAAGTGGCTTCCTGCAGGGTCAGCTCCTTTTATCTTATCCACAGTGTGAATATGATTAACCCCATTTTACAGATGTGGAGACTGACACACAAAGAAGTGACACATTGTTCCCTGCTCTGTGAGTCCTGTACTGCTGACCCCTGATGGGTGTGGTTATGTGGGAATTTTTCATACATGGATTACTACTGGGGATTTCCCCAACTCCTTTTTTCTTATGTGTCAAATTCTTCAGAGAATCCAAAGGAAAAGTATTCCCTTTGGCCCTTTTCCTTTTTGATTTCTAAAAAATTGACACATGCAAAAAAACAAAAAAAACTTTGTTTCAAAAAGTCTCCTGATTATCGGTCTTAGGAGCAGGTCACCCCCAGCCCTGCCGGGGCCTCCGTGAGTGTGTCCCTGTAGCTGGGGGCTAGAGCTGAAATCATCCTGCCTGCATCCCTGTCCCTGCAGTAAAGGCAGAAGCAAGCTGGCTGTGTTCAATCCCCCTGGGAATTTCTGACCTGCGTCAGGTTTGGGCAGTGGTTTGTGACTTATAATCACAGCGTGAAGAGTAGGTGTCCCCTTCTATGAGTCCTGCAAATTATCCAAAAATATGTACCAGATACATTAGAAGCACTTTCTTTTTAACAACCCCGGTTGCAAACTAGTCTGTTTTGTCTGTTGTTTTTTGTAGTCATAGGTTGTGAGGGATCCATTGTAGTAGCTGATGGTTATAGGGTCTTGGGGCCAGCAGCCTGACTGTAGGGCCCCTTCCCTTCCCTTCCCCTTGTTATGCGTCTGTTCCCTCCCTGAACCGAAAGGACATCACTCATTGCCCCTGCCCCCGACCCAAGTCACCCATGGGCACAGAATAGTCAGGGCTTAAGGAATGAGAAAACGAACAAATGAAGTTGTTCTGGAGCTAAATTAGAAATCAGAGAGTGAGAACTAGAAACCAGATGGCAGCTTTTGTTTTCCCCATTCGTCATTACTAATGAATATTACCACGAATACGCTGCTCTGTGCAGAGCCCCGCTGAGGGGCTCTGATTTCAGACTTAGCAAATGGAGCTGTCAGAGGCTCCTCTTGGTGGGTGTCTGCCAGTTGGGGACCCTGCATTCCCCCATGAGTGTCTGTCAGCGCCTGGCTCTGCACGTGTGTGTGTGTGTGTGTGTGTGTGTGTGTGTGTGTGTGTGGCAGAGGGGAGGTGTATGAGGGGGAGGGGCTGGCAGAGTGAGAGGGCTCAGGGCTAAAACAGGAGGTAAAGCTTCTTAATGAACCGCTTGTCTAAGTTCACATCAGATGGGTGTGGCTCTGCATCAAATAATCTCTCTACATGGTCCTCCTTCCCTGTCTAGGATCACAGCCTGCAGCCTAGGTTGAAATGGAGTACATGTGGTTTAGAGAGAACATGGAGCCCAGGGGTGAACTGAGAGCAGAGAGCTCCTGGTGGCCCAGCTGTGTATCATGCCAGCTGCTCCAGTGATCAGGGGTCCGTTTGGGGGGTGTTTGAGGAACCCAGAGAAAAGGACAAATGCCAGGGGGCCAGAGATGGGCAGTGCTGTCCCAGGTGTCCCAAGTATAGAAAAGGTGAATTCTGGAAATCACAATATTGCAGGTGTCAGTCTCAGGCCAAAGAGGGATTGGTTTAGAAACAGACCATTTTTGGAGACTTGGAAAGACAAGGTAGGCTCTGCCGACATCGAAGACCATAGATTCTAGAGGGATTGCCAGGTGTCCTTGGTTTGTTTCTAGGTGGGTGAGTTAGCACGTCTTCCTTTGCACCAAGATTTTAAAGGATCCCAACGGACTGCAATAATGGGGCTGACACCAAAAAGCTGTATTAATTTTTATGGCGTTTTTTGCTAATTACAAAGGAATGCATGTATGTGTCAGCAAGGGTTAGCATAGGAAAGTACAGAAAGAAAATGAACATTGCTCCTGACAGCGACGCCAGGCAGAGCCGTGGTCTCTCTGCTGGGCTGTTTCCATGGAGAGTAAGTGCCCCACGTGTTCTTTCCTGGTCCAGCTTCGAAAGGCCGGGAGAGACGGGGTCTTCATCATCCTCCTGACCTGTGCCTTCCCCAGGCGGAAGCTCCCCGCACCTGTGGTGCCAGGGCAAGTCACTGGGCTCTCTGCCTGGAGCCTGTGTGTGCCCGCCGAGCTGCATTCCTAGGTTCTTGGCAGGACAGGGCACAGCCATGGCTGTTGTAATGATCAAACATTCCACTGGCCCTGCTTCTTCAACCTCTCTCCTAGATCTCCTGCCCCTTACTCCCCCTCCGCCTCTCCCTCACCTTCCGGCCTGCCTTCTGCTCTCCCCCAGGGGCAGTGGTGAAACCGCACAGATTCTTCTGCAGCCTCACATTTGACGTCCGAGTTGTCACTGAACAAGTGAGCATAGGCTGGGCCACAGTGCCGGGCCCTCCACAGTTAGCTCCAGTCCTGCCCAGGTCACAGGGGGCAGCAGAGAAACTGAAATTCAAAGCGGGTTTGCCCCGTGGACCCTGCCCTCCAGGAGCGGCGAGGCCTCCGGGAAGGATAGTCTGAGTGGGCAGTGGGCTCCCAGAGGAGCCTGTGCACCAGGAAGTGTGAGGCCTGAGCCTGGGCCCCAGCCTTGGGGGGCCTCTCCCCTGCTCAGCACTTCCTCCTTTGTCATCCATCTCAGGGGGGGGGGCTGCAGCCCCCCGCCCAGCTCTCCCATCCCACAGAGGACAGAGATGGTGTCTGGAAGGGGCGTGGCAGCAGGACATTGACTGCCCCTCCTGGGCGCCTTTCATTCCTTTCTGCAGCTTCCTGGGGAGAAATCAGATTATATGTTGTCACTCTTCTGTTCTTGTCCCTTCTGTTTTACTGCAATAACCTCCACCTGCTCCTCCCTCTCCCTGTAAGTCCAGCCCTGTCTTAGGCCGGGGAAGGGTTCGATGCTGTGATAACACTGCCCGAATGAGCGAATGAGCGGCCCATGTGTAGGGATGGGAAAAGGGACAAAGTGAGAGTTCCCAGGGAGGGTGTCATTGGGGAGCAGCTTGTCTCCCTTGTGGGTGCTGAGAGGCAAGCAGGGACCCCAAGAAAGAAGCTGCTGGGGAACCAGAGCCCCCCCTTGCCGCCCCCTCCCCAGGACCCTGGGGGCCAGCCAGCAGCTTTGCCCTGGTCCCCCCACCCCCCGCTTTCCTTGGCAACAGGCCCCGTGAGATGTTCTCGTTGCCACAACCCACCACCAGCAGGTGTGTGCTGTGCCCACCTGGCCTGCCCTCCAGGAGCTGGCAGCCCATTGGTCCTTGTCCGAATCCAGACTTTGTTTCTTTATTTCAATCTTATTCTCAAAGTAATATGGGGTCTTTGTAGAAAATCTAGAAGGCATAGAGAAATATAATAGAGAAATATAAATGACTAAGGTAAAAAAAAACAACAAACCTGTGATCCCATGATTCAGAGGAAATTGCATTTCTCTTTTTGGCATCATTCTTGCTAGTTTCTTTTATTTTTCCCTTGTCTTTAACTTTTATTTATTATATTTACATACAGTTAAGTTGACTTTTCTGGCACCTGTAGAGCTTTGTATAACTATCATGCCATAAAATCCTTCATGCAATCACTTTTATTTGTTTAATTGCACAAATAGTTTAAGCATAATATTAATGATGTTTGCATTACTGGCAGTGCAAGGTTCAGGGGACACATTAGAACATAGTGCTCCCCACCCCATCTTCCTTCCCGGGGCTGAGTGCTGTGAACCGTTGCTATATCCTTCTCCTTCTGTGCTTCTACCTAAATAGCGGGTCTTATTTTTTATGTAAATAGGGTCCATTTTTCTGTGATTTGCTTTTTTTTCACTCACCAGCAGGTCTCAGAGATTTTCCCATGTAACCGTAGGTGTGGGCATATAAATCTATCTCAATCCGTTTAACCACTGAATATCGTTTTATAATTTAGAGATGCCGTAAATTGCAAACTATTCCCCTGATGACAGATGGTTGTCTCCAGCCTTTCACTGTTCAAACATTGCAATGAACAAGTGTAAACATATGTATTCGGAAATATGACTAAATATTTATGACTGATTCTTGAAATTTGTGACGTTGCTGGGCCATGGGGTACGTGTGCTTGAGCTTTGATACCAGTAGATCCCTCCAGAAAGGTGTCACACCCCTGGCCGTGTGTGACAGAGCCTGCACCTTTGCCAGCATGGATGCTGTCGGCCTTTTCTAGCCCTGCCAACCTGGGCAAAAGGGCCACTTGCACGCAGCTCCCTGGACTCCAGGGAAGTCGGGCCTCTTTTCTTGTGATTATCAGCTTCCCTCACTTCTCCTGCGAGCCACCTGTTCATACCCTTTGCCCATTTTTCTACTGGATAGTTTGTTTGTTTTTCTTCTTGACCTAGAACTCTGTGGTTATGGCTATTAATCTTTATTTGTTATCCATGTTGCAGGTGTTCTCTGCTAGTCTGTTGCTTGCTTTAACGTTCTTTAGGGTGTGCCTTTCATTGTACAAAAGCTCTATGTTTTTAGTCGTTAAATAATAGCTAGAATTTTTTTGAGCGCTTACTGTATGAATCAGGCATTGTTCTAAGCACTTTCCACATATTAACTCATTTCACCTTCATAACAAAACCTGTGACTATATCAAGATTATCCCCATTTTACAGGTTAGGGAGGGGAGGCACCAGAAGGTTGAGGAACTCGCCAAAGGCCACATAGCCAAAAGAGGGAAGCCAGGATTAAAAACCCTGCAGCCCAAGTGGCCACAGTCTCGACGCTGAGCCTTCCATACGCCTGCTTTTCCCATCCCGACCTCTGGGATTCCTGGGCTGCTTGGGAAATCTACCCCTAAGATACAAAAATAGCACACTGTATTTTGTTATAACATTTTTGCTTTTATATTTTGTTCTTTAATTCATCTGGATTTTTCATTGCTTGCTGGAACAGGTGGAAAGAAGGGATTTCATTTTACTTCTTTAAGTCCCTTTTCCTGTGCATATCTCTTTTTTTTTCCTTAACATTATCTTATACGTACTTTCTTAATGTTATTTAAAAATGCTTTTTTGTACGTGCTTTTTGAGGTCACATACTATTCCATTGTATAATGGCACCATAAATCACTTAACCAGCGTCATTATGTTGAAGGTTGGAGTTGTTTACCGTATTTCCCCATTGTAAATCATGCTGCACAGAGCATTTTCATCATCAATATTTGTCCACGTGTCAGATTATTTCCTTAGGATAGAAGCCTGGAAGAAAACATTTAAGCGCTTGTTATCTATGTTTTACACTAACATAAAGGAGGAAAACACCCTAAATCTTTCCTTGCACAAGAAGAGGGCCATGTGACGGATGGAAGCATCCATCAGTGTGGGGTTTGCCCCAGAGTGTCTGTGCATGTGCACAAGTCAGCTTTGGTGTGTATACAGCTGGAAGCCTCGAAAAAGCTCTCAGGTGTCTGGCTGCAGGAGGCTCGGGGGGGGAGGGGGAGCAGGGACAACATTCACGGTGTTAAGACATCAATGTTTCTGCTCCCATAGGTAGCAGGAATTGGAATAGGAACATCCAGGCTCCTCTCAAATCTCAGGTCCCAGGCAGCTTCCCAAATTAATCTGGTTCCCTGGAAAATTCTGGTCCCAGGGTCCAGGAAAGCCTCCATGATAATAAAATCGTAAGTGTAATTGAAGAGCATGGAGGCCAGAGGCATCTGAAGGCTTGGGGTTGATGGGAGGCCAACATTCCCACAGCCAGAGAAGAGTGTGATTGAGGCGTTGAGGCGTAGCCTCTGTGCCAGGTCATGAAAATCAGCGTAAGTGCACTTACACAGATGATAAAAACTCAACAAGGAGTTTGGTGATAAAACTTAATGGCCTATCAAATCACAATCAGGACACTAAAACGCGGTGGGCCGGAGTGTAACCCTCCGCCTCGGGCTCTCCCGCCGCCAGGATGTCCTGAAGGCCCGGCCCAGGAAGCTGGAGCTGGGGTCCAGGCCAGCACCGCCCATGACCCACAGCTCGGCTCCCCAGAACAGGCCAGCCAGCCCTTTCTCCTCCTCGGGGCCTGGCCAGTCTCCTCGTCATAAACTGTCTACAGAAGTTTATTGCTTCGCCTCAGTATTTTGTTCAGGGAGCAGAGGAAATTAATGCTAGAAGCAAAAATCATACGATATCAAGTCAATGCTAGGATATGTATGGGACTTTAGAACAACATCCCTGGGTGCTGGAGATTTCCAGAAATGTGTTTTAGACCTGGTAAGAGCAGGGGAATGTATAAATGGTGCTGGGGAGGGGAAGTACCTGCACAGTAACTGCCTTGGTGGCCAGTTCTACTAAATAGAGGAGGTTTTTCAAACTAGCAACTATTTGAGCATAAGACAGGACTTGCCCCAAAAGAATTTAGTCCAATTAAATCCTGTTACCACAAATGTAAGCCTGAACAATATAGCTATGAGGTTAATTCATTCACAAAGTGTGTGGAACACCGTCCTTAATAGCAGGGGTGTGGTGGTGAGCTGGACAGACAGGTAGGCCTGTCCGGTTGGGGGGATGGACAGGGAACAAGTAAGGCAGTGACTCCAGCTGTTTTGAGTCCAATTGAGAAAATAAATAGGACATTGGAAGAGATCATGATGGAGTGAGGCTTTTTTGGGTTATGTGTCCAGGGAATTTCTCTGTAGATGTGAAATTTGTACTAAATCGTGATTGCAATAAAGGGGTGAGGCATGCAAAGACCTGGGGAAAGATCGTGTCCAGGCACCAGCGTAAGAGCCCTGAGGTGAAGTGAGAGAACAGAAAGGGGGTCACAGCTGCAGAGCAGAGGGCAGGAGGGGTTTGAGATGGGAGGAGCCAGGTGGTGTGGGCTTGTGGCCCGGGTAAGGAGTTCGGATTTTAATGTACCTGCCATGGGAAAGGTTTAACCAGGGTTTTTGTTTTGTTTGTTTTTTAATCTGATTTCTGTTTTAAAAAGATGCCCTGGCTGCTCCTAAATATCAGAAGACAATAAGGCAGTACAGAATTCAATGCCATAGAAATATGTGAATGAGAAGAATTTTGTGAATAGAAGAGAAATAGGTGGTTCGCTGGGGCTGAAGCTTCCCCAGTGGATTTGGCACGATTTCTTTGTCCTCATTCTTCTTTTCTCCCGGGCGCCCCTGGGAGCAGAGCCGAGCTGTCCTGCAGAGATGGCAGCAGGGCCTCCCTGCCATGGGAATGGTTTCTCTCGATTGTTCCCCACAGGGTGTGGACACTGTAAGAAAATGAAGCCAGAGTTTGAGAGTGCAGCGGAAGTCCTCCACGGAGAAGCAGACGTAAGCATCCTTCCCCTAACCTCCCCCCCACATTCTTGTCTGAAGAATCAGTGACATGAATCATTGCAATGGCTTTTCCCTGCCAGCTCTGCAGCAGCTCTCCCGGCCCCTGGAGATCTGTAGTACTTCCACGTTTCCGAGTCAGATGGGTGGGGCCCTACCAGGGATGGAGGGGTGCAGAGAGACTGGGGTCACATTCCCAAGCCTGTCCAGGTAGCCTCTGTCAGGTCATGGCCTTGAGGGGAAGCCTCAGAATTCTCCCTCTTTTCTCTGGGTCGCTGGCTATTGGGAACAGCCACAGTCTGTCTACCCAGCCTGCTTGGTGGGCAGATTTAAAAGCCTCATCTCGGCCCATAAAGAGAAATGATGACCGTGCCAGTGTTTGGTCATTCCCTGGGGCCAGCCACCCCACAGTGAGTCCCTGCAGGCCCGGGGGCAGGGGAGCAGGGGGCTGTCGTCTGGGCTCCTCTGTTCTGCCTGCCCCGTGTCTGAGGCTGTCGTGCATGGTTGGCCTCTCCCCCATCCCAGAGCTCTGGTGTCCTTGCAGCTGTCGATGCCACTGTCAACAAGGCCCTGGCAGAAAGATTCCACATCTCCGAGTTCCCCACATTGAAGTACTTTAAGAACGGAGAGAAATATGCAGTGCCCGTGCTCAGAACGAAGAAGAACTTTATTGAGTGGATTCGAAAGTAAGTTTGATGGTCTTGGTAGTACATCCTGACTCCTGGCTGTCGGCCACCGGAGACGGCCTTGAGGAGGAGAATTAAACCTTAGCAACTACTGCCCTTGGCTCAGGGCCACAAGCCAAGACCAATTTGACTTCCCCAATCCTAAAGCCTCGTCTGGTGTGCTCACCATGGTCCTCACCCAGGAGGCCGCTGGTAGCCTTTCTGGATGCAGTTTTATCAGCTCCAGTAAGCCTTCTACTCTCTTTCTAGAGCCCCCCACCCCCCACCCCACCCCCTTTCCCAAGGTCTCGGCCCCAGGTGTCATCTTCTGCACTTTGTCCCATCCCCTGTGAATGGATGAAGGAAACACACGGCTCTTTGTATGGAGAGCTGGACTCACTTGCACCCAGGTTCGCTGGTGGCTCACGGGGCCTCCTCAGTGTCCACAGTGCAGCCAGGGCCATTCTGGGGCTGAGAATAAGATTTCAGAGAGCAAGTAGCTTATTTTCTCACACCTGTGGAGACCAGAGGTTCAAGACCAGATGTCTCCAGGGTTAGTTTCTTCTGAGGCTTCTGTCCTTGGCCATCTTCTCCCTGTGTCCTCACATGGTCTGTGTCTGTGTCCTCTTCTGTCTCAAAAGGACACCAGTAAGACTGGAGTAGGGCCCACCCCGTGACCTCATTTTAACTTAATTACCTCTATAGGCCCTGCCTCCAAATGCAGTCATGTTCTGAGGCACTAGAGCAGCCGTGGGCAAACTATGGCCCGCGGGCTGGATCCGACCCGTTTGAAATGAATAAAACTAAAAAAAAAAAGACCGTACCCTTTTATGTAATGATGTTTACTTTGAATTTATATTAGTTCACACAAACACTCTATCCATGCTTTTGTTCAGGCCTTCCAGTCCAGTTTAAGAACCCATTGTGGCCCTCGAGTCAAAAAGTTTGCCCACCCCTGCACTCGAGGTTAGGACTTCACTATGGGAACTTGGGGGGACACAGTCCCTCCCACAACAGTCTGCAAGTCCAGAGAACCTGAGTAGCCTTGCAGTTACAGGCCCAAGGGTCCTCCAACTCACCCCAGGACTTTAGAACATGCAGTTCTTAGCATTTCCCTGTCCTGGGAGGGACTAACTGAGCTGTCACACAGGTGCCCTGGGAAATGGAGGAAGCCTCGGGCCTTGCTTGAGAGGAAGGAGTTGTTAGGACACAACTGAGGAGCCTTTCTGCTATCTACACCCCTCCCCCAACACGCGTGTGCACGCACACACACACATACACACACACCTTAAATATCTGAGGCTATTTCCTCATTTCTGCTGAGGGCGAGATAGAGAAGACATATTCCAGCCTCTGCAAGGTCCCTGGTCCATGTTATAATGATGCCCAGTTGGGAACCAGTTAGAGTCACAAAGTGACACAAGAACTGCAAAACAGCAGCATCTGAATGGAGTTACTTTGTTAGGACCTCGAACCTCAGGCTTGGATGTATGTCAGCATCACCTGGTGTTGAGGTGCTGATTTAAAGTGCAGATGCTGGGCTGCTGTCCTTGAAGCTTGGATTCAGGAAGTATGAGTGGGACCTTCAGCCTCAGTGTTTTGAGAAACACCAGCTTACGCAGAATGGGAGCTTTGGGGCATTGCAGGGGATGAGAGATAGAACCGGAGAGAGAGAGAGAGAGCTTCTGAAAGGTGAGGGTGGCCATGGGGTGTCGGGGTGCAGGGGCGAAGGAGAGAATGCAGGGGGCTGTGTCAGCAGACCCCCTCCCTCCCCCAGAGACACTTCTCAGCAAAGGGAGAGAGGACGTGGCTGTAGAGAAGGGGGCAAGGGCAACAGAGGCTTTAAAAGACCCTGGAGGTCTATCTGTACTTTTGAGAGGCAGGGGGAGGGAACCAGTGGACAGACAGAGAATGAGAAATTATAAACACCCACTATGCGCCGGTCACTTATCAGAGCATATAGGCTCTCAGCAGCTGTTAGTTGCTTGGCTGGCTAGGTGCTTTACATGCACCCTCCGCTCTCTGTAAGGATCCCAGGAAGTAGGTATCATTGTACTCATTTAACAGAAAAGAAAATGGAAGCTCAGAGAGGTTAGTAACTTACCTAAGGTCACACCATTGGTAAGTAATCCGGATTTGAACCCAGACCCGCTGCACTCTTTGGCCCATGCTCTCTCCACCAGAACAAGGTTCAGGAACAGGAAGTAGTGGGCGGCCTTCAGGATCCCAGAGGAAACAAGGGGCCAGAGGGGAGCCGTGTGGAGGAGCTGCTATGCTCATGGCCAGGAGTGAGGGCCCATACCTGTGAGGCGGCCCTGCCCTGAAAGGGGCTCAGCCCTTCCGCACTCTCACAGAGTGGCTTCTCCTTAGGCTTTTCCGAGGGAATCGGGAATCTTTGCTGATGGTACAGATTTTTTCCTGTTTAAACAGAGGTTTTAAATTAAACTTTAGAAAGGAAGCAAAGGGGTTTCTCTCATGCTCCCCTGCGTGGTGGGGGGAGAGGGGAAGGGGTGGAAGCACTTGCCTGTACATGAGCCTCTCCTGATGACTGTGTCCCCTCCACCCCGGCTCCCTGCAGCCCCGAGGCCCCCCCACCCCCAGAGCCCACCTGGGAAGAGCAGCAGACCAGCGTGCTGCATCTGACGGGGGACAACTTCCGGGAGACCCTGAAGAAGAAGAAACACACCTTGGTCATGTTCTATGCCCCTTGTAAGTAGCTGGGGTGCTCACTGGGGGGTGAGAGAGGGGTGGGCCTGACGGAACCACGAGGATGCCCCTGGGACCAGGGCACCCGCAGGTTGACTGTGGGTTCACCTCTGCGGTAAGCAAGGCCCCCAGTTTCGTTCCAGGCTGCCCTTCAAATCCAGGGCCCCTTGTGTCGGTCAGCTGTCAGGTTCTCTCCCTCCTGGGAGCCTCCCTCACGTCAGTCCTAAAGCCCTCTGCTGCTGGCTGTGGCAGGGATGTGCCGTGTGATTACTCAGTCTCCTCATGTTCCTGGGATCTTCCAGGCTGGCTGCCTCCCACCGGCCACTTCCTCCCACTGCCCTCGGCTCCCTCCATCTCTCCGGACACTGACTTCTCCTTCAAACCTGGGAATTTGGCATTACCTTCCCTGTGGCTTTGAAGCTGTGGTGAAGCAGCCACATTTGCTCCAGCTTCTGAGATCCTGAGATTCCTTTTAAATCAAAGCTTAAGCTGAGCTGAGGAAGTGGCACACCTGCTAACATGGGTGTTTGTGACCTCAGGTTTTGTGTATTCCCATTTGGAAGTTAATTGATCCGTAAAAGGCCAGGCTCTTGAATGTCCCACTTTCCTGTCGCCCTTCTCTCCGCCAGGTTATGCCCAGCTTCATGGGGGGATAATAAAGCCAGGCTCTGCAGAAGCCAGCAGCTTGAGCTGGTCATAACCCTGCTGGGTGGCAGCCAGCCCTCCTGTTTGCTCCCCTCCTGCCTTCACTTGTTAAGTGTCGATCATCCGCAGGGTCTCTCCTCAGCCCTCACTGTCTGGAAGGGGCTGCCTCCTGGCCCAGCCTCAGACCCCGCCCTTGGGCGGCTAACATATCTTGTTGTGGGGACTGTGCTCTGGGTTCCTTACACAGCTTGTCTCTGTCCTCACCTGTCCTTAGAGTGAGACTGGGGATTAAGAGGTTAGCGGTTTCCTTCCAGGCAGAGTGAGGGCGCAGAACTGAGTCCCGGGAGATTCAGTGGGTGACTTGTTTGTGACAGCTGTTCTGCAGCCTGATGCTCCTTTTCTGTCACAGATTCAATTCAGAGAGTAGGGACTTTCTCAGCAGCAAGTGACATCCTGGCTATAGAAGTTGGAGTCCTTGACCAGCTCTGGGTGGACGTTAGAAAGACCAGGCTAAATACTTTCCCCTGGAAACACCCCTCACCCCGTGACTCTGGGGCAGGGACTCCTACCCTGTTGGGGTGCTAAGGACCTCCCTCAAATACCAGCTGTGTGCTGAGCGAAGTCCTGGACCCAGAACACGAGGGAAGGAGGCGTGATCCCTGCCTGGCCTCAAGGGCCTCACAGTCCACCCTGGCAAGAGATAACTTTGAACGTAGGGTGAGTCACTGAGCGACTCAACTTACGGCAAAGGGCTCGGTGCCTATAATCTCTGGACTCTGCTCCAGATCGAAGACATGTTAATCAGGGGGTTAAACAATATTGGGGGGAGGGGAACTATCCAAAGACAAACAAGTCTTTAACAATCTATAATAATAAAAGTGTAACATGCTAATTAGACTGGACGAAGCCAGGGCTGTGAGGGCCAGGGCAGCCATGCATCGGGTCTCTAGTTTTTAATAATAAAAATACCCAGTTTGGCACAGTGGATAGAACATCATCCCTTGTACTCAAGGGTCCTGGGTTTGATTCCAGTCAAGGGCATGTACCTCGGTTGCAGGTCGGGGGCGTGTGGGAGGCAATCAATGGATGTGTCTCTCTCACATTAATGTTTCTCTCTCTGTGTCTCTCCCCCTTCCACTCTCTTTAAAAATCAATGGAAAAATATCCTCAGGTGAGGATAAACAATAATAATAATATTATACATTTATTTATAATAGATATAGTCTATAGTATATACTCATTCATATACAAAGACTAAATTCTACAGAAAGGTCAAACACCTGATAGAGGTAGATATAAAATAAAAAGCAAATATCCCTCCCCCATCTCCTCCCTGCACATCCCCCTCACTACCCCCACCTCCCCAACTTCCACACAGATCCTCCTCCTGCTGTTTCACTGTTCTCCCCTAGGCCAAGCCCCATTTGCTCTGAATGGTCTGGCCACAGTGACTGCCCTTCTTAGGCCAGTGTGGCTGAGTCTCCAGAATTGGAATTCTGTTCTGTCCTCAGTCTTTGTTTCTCTCCCTCTCTCTGGGAGACTTCTCTGGTTTCCTGCTGTTCAGCGGTGGTGCCTTTTTTAAAAGAATCCAGATCAAAAAAATTGTGCTTCTCTCGCCCACCTGACACCCTGGCAGCATCTTTATGCCCTTTCTAAACCTGCCTCCCTTCCAGCCATTCAATCGCTGTGCTCTTTCTCTTGGATAATGAAAAGATTAGATGCAACAGGAGGCCATTAATCTGAGACATAGAGACTTTAAATTGATGGTAATAGGAGTTTGCACTAGGCCGACAGTTACCTTTGTACTTTCCATAAGCAGAGAAGTTAGAAAGGAACAATTAGTGATACCAGATTTGGGGGAAGAGGGTAGCTTATTCCTGGCCAGCCTGATGCTATTAGCAGGCATCCAGGCCACTCATGAGGGACCTCTAGGTGACCTAGGGTGAGCTTGCATAAACCTTGTCCACCAGCACATACATTAAGCTCTATAAATGTTTTAAAAACTGTATGCTGTAATGTCTTCATAATCTGAAATTTTCATGAATTTGAGCTATTCTTACCTCTGTTGAGTCACATCAGTGAAGTATTCCTGTATTTGCCATTGAGGCAATTTAAAAAACATCTATTAGTATCTGCCATGAGTTAGGCCGTGCTAGGCACTTCGTCTCATTTAGTTCTGATGTAACCCATAACCAGCCTAGCTTTCCTCTCTACTCCTGGGCCAGAGGATGGAAAATCCCTTTAAGCCCCCTGTCCATCACGGACCACACTGTGCTGGGGCCAGCTGGCCAGTCCACCAGCCAGGCCGCAGGGGTGGTCCTGCCCATCTCGGGAGCTCTTCAAGTGCTGACTGCAGACTAAAGTGTAGCTTAGGCTTAATTTGGTTTCACAAAACCCTTTGAAATGCCAATCATTATTATCTTATTTTTAAAAGAGGGAAAGCAGATGAGCAGAGCCATTCTGTTCCCCACCTTGGCTCCCCCCAGGCCTAGGGAGGGCTGGAGGGCCGGCCCGGCTGTCTGTCAGGAAGTTGGCTGGGGCCAGGGCATCTCGCCTCTCCCACCTGTGTTTTGATGAGAATTAATTACCACCGTCAGGGAGATCTTCCGCTGAAAGCAGTTCGCTCTCTCGGCATGTGTTCAGTGTCTGGACAATGGTGGAGAGAGGAGGTGGGCTTGGGTTTTGATCTGCTGGTGCTGAGGGGAGGGCCAAGAAAGTGAGTCTGGGCAAGAGTGCCTGCATCTTCCCGGACTCTCCCCTCAGTGGATACTGCCCTGGATTCACTGGGATAGGAGGACGAAGTGGCCCTACACAGGTCCAGTCTATGCCTGAGATGCTGTCGTCAGAGCCTGAGGGGCTGTGTGCACGCCCCTGTCCCCTACAGGGCCGCTGGAGTCACAGGTCCTTGTCTACACTGATGGGCCTCTTCCTGGGGTCGGGAACCTAAGGACCCCGTGCAGCTTGTCCTCTTAGCCTGACGTTGGCTTTCCCGTTCCTGGATCCCAGGTTCAGATGGATTGTAGAGCGAAGGGTAGAAGGACAGCATGAGGACCAGGAGCTGGTTTGGCAGCTCGGTCTGGGATGAGGGTAGAGGTTACTGAGAATGTGGAAGTGAGCCCCAAAGCGTAAGTAGCAGGGGCTCAGGCAGCGTGGGTACTCCTGTGCCACCCCACCTCCACCCCCTCCTTTCCCAGTCCTACTTTCTCAGTCATGAAATGGAGAGGTTTGTAAGAGAAGGGGGCTTTGTAACAGGCTCAGAGAATCCTGAGCACACATCACCTTCTAAGGCAGCGGTTCTCAACCTGTGGGTCGAGACCCTTTTGGGCGTCGAACAACCCTTTCACAGGGGTCGCCTAAGACCATCGGAAAACACATATATAATTACATATTGTTTTAGTGATTAATCACTATGCTTTAATTATGTTCAATTTGTAACAATGAAATGGGGGGTCACCACAACATGAGGAACTGTATTAAAGGGTCGCAGCTTTAGGAAGGTTGAGAACCACTGAGCCAAGGTAACTGTGGGATGGGAGGTCCTGGGCAGGCGTGGGCCTGCCGCTTGCACAGGGCACCAACAAAGCCCTCATGCCAACAGCAGACACACAGGATGGTGGTTTGAGGGGCAGGGTTGATGCATGGGCCCTGATGGTGGGGTGTGCAGGTGGTGGGAGTCAGAGGAGCCCCACAGTCTGTTAAGTGAGAGACACTCCCTGAAAGGCCTCTCTGGGGGTCCTGGGAAGGGCTCTGGCTCTGCAGCCTCCTCACCCCCCCCCCTCCGCCCCCATGTGTAACACTCTCTCTCCCTCTCAACAGGGTGCCCGCACTGTAAGAAGGTCATTCCATACTTCACCTCCACCGCGGACGTCTTCAAAGATGACCGAAAGGTATGGGTGCTCCTCTTCATCTCTTGTCCTGCCTCCAACTTTGCCCGGTCCCCAATTCCCACACCTTCCTCCTTTCCATTCAGTCCCCTTCCCAGATAGGATCTGCCGAGACCTGGGGATCCTGGGAACCAGGACATTCTCTTTTCATAAGGCAGGATAGAGCCACTGAATTTATGCTACAAAATCAACCAAAAGGGATACACTGAGCCGTTGCAGCCCTTCCTTGGAGGAGAGGATAGAAGAGGGGTTATCTGTTTATTTTTTTAGAGCTTGAACCTTTTTATAGTAGGATCTGTAGTCATGCATTACTTATATAATCAAAAATACAAATAAAAAAATTCAACAAAAGTTGACTACAGGCAGCCAGGGCGGAGGAGAGCAGGCTATGCCTACGGAGCCTCGTCAGTGGAAGGCTCCTGCAGCGGCTGACTGATGAAGCATAAAATTAACAAGCTAGACCTGCAGATTGGATTAGTGTTCAGGGAGTGGGGGCCCCCAGGCACATCCCCCCCGGCAGCTCCAGCAGGCAGGGCAGGACAAGCTACCACCTGCCGCCTGGTGAGGGTGGTGTGTGGCCCTGGCCGAGGGGTTGTGTGGCCAGGAGAAGACCCCGGAACTCAGGATGGTGCAGCTTAGCTACTGCTAACCTGTGTGACCTGAGAGAAGTCCATCAGCTCTCCAGGCTGTGAGTTCCCTCCTCTGTAAAGTTGGCGTGCTGGTCTAGATGAACACGAAGACCATTCCCAGCCTGGGACAACGTCATAGGAACCTGTCCCCTGGTGGGTCCCAGAAACGCACCCACACATACCCAACCCAAGGTCATGCATCTCTGCCGTGGGGCCTCATCTTCCTTGTAGAAGCTTCAGGCTAAGTGGGGGCTGCTGGACACCGATGCCTGCCTGGATCACCTTGAGTCGGCCCTGCGAGAGGGGCAGTAACAGGATGGGGAGAGCTTAGAGCAGTGATGGCGAACCTCTTGAGCTCGGCGTGTCAGCATTTTGAAAAACCCTAACTTAACTCTGGTGCCGTGTCACATATAGAAATTTTTTGATATTTGCAACCATAGTAAAACAAAGACTTATACTTTTGATATTTATTTTATATATTTAAATGTCATTTAACAAAGAAAAATCAACCAAAAAAATGAGTTCGTGTGTCACCTCTGACACGTGTGTCGTAGGTTCGCCATCACTGGCTTAGAGGGACAGCAAGTGAGAGGAAGCCAGGCTGGGGCACAGGCACATGTGTGGAGAGTGGGGACACACTGGGGACTCAGACCCCAGGACCCTGCCCTAGACTCAGGGAGTCCCGTCGTCACCCACAAGTCCTGGGTGTGCCTTTGAAGGTACACCTCACCCTCCTGTAGGGGGTAAGGACCAGAACCATTTTCTCCTGCTCTTGCCACTTGGCCTGCATGGAGAGGGACGTGGCAGGAAGGGCTTCCCGTCTCCCGTCGCCCCCACCACCTATCCCGCTTCTGCACTGGGGCCTGTGCATTCGTCAGGGTGGCTGCTCCCGCTCTGGGGGGCCCGTCCCTGCAGGGCGCCCTCACTCTGGGCTTTGGGTTGTATGAGGAAGCCTTTGCTCCCCGGAGAACAATCAGTGCTCTGGACACCGGAGTGTGGTGGGGTGTGAGGTCTCCCCCACTGCCCCACCCCCGGGTGGCTGCTTGGGTCTCCATGGCTCCAGGTCTGTGACAAGGCCAGGCTGGCTGTGCCCACAGCCGGCAGCCAAGGGCCAGCCCTCCTCTTCCCCTTTCCCCTCTACTGATGCATAGGAGCCCCATTTTCATGGTGACCCCTCCTTCTCTGAGACACTGATACACCTTTTGCTTAGTTGTCTTCACGCGGGCCAGTGATACTGCTGGCCTTTTTCTGGGCTCATTCCCTCTGTCTCTCCTTCCAACTTCCTTTATTCCAAGCCAGAGATCCCCTCGTTTCAGAAGCACACATAACCTCTCTGTGCCAGGCCGCTCCAGGCATGGGGCTCCTGAAGGTGGCTCTCAGTAACCTCAGGGAAGCATCTGTCTCTCTGGCTTGGGGGACAGATGTTACTGGTGCCCCATTGCTGGGTGCCATCCTAGAGCTATCAAATCAGACTCTCAGGGATGGTTCCAGGACTTGTGATTCATAACCGCTGGCTCTCGTGCTGGCCACAGGCTGGCATTTGGTGACCACGGGTCTGTCCAGCTCTCTCCTTCTACTCATGAGGGACCAAGGCCCAGAGAGGAGCCGTGGAATGCCCAGTGGGTTTCTGTAGCCAGAACTGGGTCTTCTGACATCCACCTCTTAGCCGGAATTGTATTTTTTTCCACCCAGAAGCTGGACCCTGTTTCTTCCCCAATCAATATGCAGTTGGTCGCTCACTTCCATTTTCATAGCCAAAGTCAATATTAGCTCCTGCAGAGATTTATTTTACTGAATCAATAAAGCCATGTGAGGCAGCTCATATTTTAGCTGGGGAGCCTCCACCCCCTCCCAGGAGCTAACTGGGGGACTTTAGCTGTGGGCAGGCTGAGGGGAGAAAGGGCTGCACACTGTTAGTGTTGGGATGAATGGCATTATGGCAGGGGCCATGGAGGACAGGGATCCAAGGTGCAAGGTTGGTGGACACAGGCAGAGGTCAGGGGACCACTGGGCTGCAAGGTGGGGCTCGTCTCACTGTACATCAAGGTGCGCCCAGCCTGGTGGTGGAGCAGGGCTCGCAGTGCAGCTCTTGACGAAGTATGAGGGTCATCCCAGGAGGGGTCCCTTCCTCTGTGATTGGCCCAGAGGCTGCTGTGACTCTGTTGTATATAGTTCCCCTCACCCCATGTTTACAAAGCTGTCTGCCCATCAGAAGGAAAAGCTCTCTGAGAACAGGGACCTCATTTGTCCTTGAATTCCCTGCAGTCTTTACTCCTGAGACCTCTGTAAATGTTGATTGAATGAAGGAACTATAACGTATTTGACATTTCTTGGGAGTACCTCTCCCATTAATGCTTTATTTTTTTAATATATTTTTATTGATTTCAAAGAGGGAGAAGGAGAGAGATAGAAACATCAGTGATGGCAGAGAGTCATTGATCGGCTGCCTCCTACACGCCCCCTACTGGGGATCGAGCCCATAACCCGGGCATGTGCCCCAACCATGAATTGAACCGTGACCTCCTGGTTCATAGGTTGACACTCAACCACTGAACCATGCCAGCTGGGCCTCCCATTAATACTTTAAAAGCGTATGTCATGTAATCCTCAAAGTAGCTTAATCAGCTAGGTATTATTACTTTCCCATTCAAAGATCAACTCTTAGAGAGTTTAAGTGATTAGCCCAGAGTTACCCAGCCGGATAGAAGCAGAGTCAGAATCCAATAAACAGGAATTGTCAGAGTTCTCCCAGAAACCAGTGGACTGACTGCAGAGGGTGTATTTGGGAGGTGGTCTCAGGAAGCTGCTGAGGGAGGGGATAGAAGAAGGGAGAGCAGACAGGGAAGGAACCAGAGCAGGGCCATTAATGAGCAGATTACCTCATGGGTAACTAGGCTGTCCCTGGAGAGACCTTGCCAGGGGGATATGTCCTTCAGCCCTGCCCATCGCTGGCCTTACTTCTTGCTCTCTGACAGTGGCAAGGGCTGGGCCAAGGGGACACGGCCGGGCACTGACAGCCAACTACCAGGGAGCAAATCTGGAAGTTAGAGGTGTACGTCCGGTGCTGCGGGTGAGTTCGGTGCACATCCTGAGTGGGCATGAAGGGGCAGGCCGTTAGGCAGGTGAGGTTGGGAGGGATGAGAAAGGCTTGCTTGCTGCCTTCCTCCGAGAGTCCACGCCACTTCCTTCCGAGGGGGCCGCCCTCATCTCCCATGGAAACTGAGTGTGGAGGAGCCTTTGCAGCTGGAGGTCGCCCTCTGTGTGTGCGGCTGGCAGTGAGTTTAGGTGATTTCGAATAAGAACACATTTTTAATTTAGCAGATTTATAAAATCATACACTACATTTCCCACAGCTCCAGGGCATGTATACAAATTAAATTTATAATTTAAATTGGTGCAGGGAGAGCAGCAGCCCAGAGCAACGCTCATCAAACACTTTCACAGCATAGCGAGGAGCACTGGTCCCTGGCTGGGGGGCTGGACAGCTGCCCAGCCCTGGTGTGGGGTCTCCCCTGGGCCGGGCCCTTCCCTGCCTGCCCTGAGAAACAGAACCCAGAGCCGGCCAGAGGAGCATCTGCTTCAAGTTTCTAAATAACTCAGAAAGCTCTTGAGAGGGTGAGCTGGGTTCGGGAGCCTGCCGGGGCCAGCCTGCAGGTCCAGTGGATCGGGCTCCATGCAGGTGCCAGGGATGGCAGGCTGGACCCGCCTGAAGGAGACAGCCGCCCTCTGCTCCAGCCAGGCGTTGCCTGTGAGAACGCAGGGCAAGTGCCATCAAATCTGGCTTTTAAGGAGAAGTTGGCGAGCCAAACTTTGATATAAAAATCTTTTGGCTCTTTTTCTAGGTTGGCAGCTAATTCAGATTTTTTTTTATTCTCTGTGGGCCAAATAGAACAGGAACGAGAGCCAGATAGGGGTTGTGTGCAGTGAGTTTGCAAACTCTGCTCCATTAAGTTGTACTATAGAGAACGTTGTGTAGCCACAGAGGTAGCAGAGCAGGGTGAGGGCAGGTGAGGAAGAACAGGTGTGCCTCACTGGTGACCAGAGTGCAGCCCATACCTCCCTCTTCACCCAGTAAATGTGACTGTCGGTGGCCTGCTGGGCTCTCCGACCTGGAAAGGGAGCCTCCATTCAAATGTTAGTGGCCAGGAGCCAAAGAACTGTGTGAGTGGTGGTTCTTCAACACGTCAAGCTGTGGTAATAGTTCAGTCTGGATTCCTTAATGGGCTCGGTTCTCAGAGACCCCATGTCATTCCTTTCTCAGGTCCTGGTGTGGGCTGGCCTCTATCTGGGTGCTCATCACGCAGCTGGTTGCCCACTCGTCACTCAGGGCTCAGGTCAGATGCTCTCTCCTTGCAAAGGCCTCCTTGGCCATCTGGCAAAAGCAGCCCTTCTGGCTATTGTCTTATCGAATCGCCCTCTTTTAATTCCTCCGGAGCAGGCATTGGGCTCTAAAATGATCTCACTTATTATGTGTCTGTTGGCAGTGAGAGCAGCAGTCGCTCAGTGACTGAACTTTGTCAAGGTCAGCCTGGACCTGGCATCTAGAACACATGGCGGGACTTCGATCAAGGCCGCCTGGCCTCAGAATCGGTCCCACCTCCCCTGTGATGCATTTGTATCTCGTGTTGCCGTCACTGGGCCCTCTCCCCTCCTGCCCTGCTTTGTGACCCCGAACAGGAAAGAAGTTCTGTGTGTCTGCCTTAGACTCTCTTGTTTTGAAAGAACAATAAGTAATAAGGAAACACTACCCAGCTTGTGGAATTTGGGAACCTCTTTCTGACCCAAAACTCTGCTTGCTTTGGTCCTGCTGAACTCTTTTCTAGTTTCTGGACTGTGCCCTCCTGGCTGGAACCAACCTTCTTTCCTCCTCCTTCAGGCCTGGCTCAGGTGGCAACCACGCACAGTGCCTTTGCTCCACTCCCTGGCGCTCTCTTGGCGCCCAGGACCACCTCCATCCTACCCCTAACTCTCTCTGACTCCCTTTATCTGAACAAACACTGAGCTTCTAGCGGGGACAGGGCTTGTGTATGGGGCTGGTAGGAGTGAATATAACAACAGCCGGCATTCACTGATCACTAACTATGTGCCAGGGCCCTGTGCTGATGGGAATTGAGACACAGGAGGTGAGGTCATTTTCCTCAAGTCTTAATATACAGCCACCCCAAGGTTTGCACTTGAAAAACTGGACTTCAAAGCTCTTTTTCTTAACCTTGGAACTACACTGCCTCCCAAGCAGATGTTCAGGAATATTAGTTGGTAAATGAATGAATCCCACAGTGCCTCCCAGAAAGTATCATGTAAACCTGTGATGTTTACAACTGCCTTCAAGTCAAAGTTTCCTTTGTGGTCATTATACAGCTGTCTCCCTCGGTATCCTTGGGGGATTGGTTCCAGGACCACTCCCTGCTGTAGCCTTTATACCAAAATCTGAGGATGCTCAATTCCCTTACATAAAATGTCGTAGTATTTGCATATGACCTATGTTGGCATAAAGGCTACAGCAAGGTGTGCCTACACATCACTTCATTCCAGTGGGTTCAGCGTAGAGCTTAGCACGTGGCAAATTCAAGTTGCACTTTTTGAAACTTTCTGGGATTTTTCTTTGTTCAAATATTTTTGATTTGTAGTTGGTTGACCCCACAGATGCAAAACCTGCGGGTACAGATGGGCTGCAGTACTCTTGATTTTACATTTTTTTAAAGTATGTTTTATTGATTTTTTACAGAGAGGAAGGGAGAGAGATAGAGAGTTAGAAACATCGATGAAAGAGAAACATCGATCAGCTGCCTCCTGCACATCTCCCACTGGGGATGTGCCCGAAACCAAGGTACATGCCCTTGACCGGAATTGAACCTGGGACCTTTCAGTCCGCAGGCCGACGCTCTATCCACTGAGCCAAACCGGTTTCGGCAGTACTCTTGATTTTAAAAGGCGGTCTGAGGGCACTCCAAGCCGGGCCCTCAAACTTTCCCCGGCTGCCTGGGAAATAGGAAACAGGCACCGCCAGGCTCCGGGAGCTCCGGGCTGGGGATGCTCCAGTGCAGCTCCTCCCTGCGGTTGGGGAAGGGCCACAGTGTACGGAGGCCCCAGCCTCAGCTCCAGGACTGGAGACCCCTGGGCTGACCCTCCCCCTCTCCCCTGTAGATCTGCTGCGCTGCTGTGGACTGCATCAAAGAGAAGAACCAGGACCTGTGTCAGCAGGAGGCCATCAAGGGCTACCCCACTTTCCACTACTACCACTACGGGAAGTTTGTAGAAAAATATGACAGCGATCGGACGGTGAGTTGGGGAGAGAAACCTGCCCAGAGCTCTTTCTGCTGATGGGCAGGGAAACAGCCACTGAGGGGCAGCAAAGGGAGGCCTCAAGGCTCAGCTGGCCCATCAGAGCTGAGAGGCAAGGGTCTGGGCCTGGCTGGAAGAGGGTCTCAGGGGGTTGTCATAGAAATCCTGTCTCCAGAGCCCGGGGGGCTTCTCAGGGCTCCTCTGTAGGCAAGCAGACCCGCCCTGCATCACCAGCTGCCCCTGCGGGTTCTGCCAGTCTCTCTACCCCAGAGGAATGAGTACACGGAGCGTCAGAGAAGGGCAGTGAGAGGGAGAATGACATCTGCACCAGGGGTTAAAATTCCTTTTTTCCTCCTCTGCTCCCCTTCCCCACAGGAATTGGGATTTACCAATTTTATTCGAACCCTCCGGGAGGGAGACCACGAGAGACTAGGGAAGAAGAAAGAAGAGTTGTAACTTCTGCCTCAGAGAAAGCCTTTCCATTGCACTGTGAATGATACCTGTTTTATTGTTCTTTCTGAATTTCCATGTGTCTGAAGACAAAGTTTTTTAGAGCCACGTATGGCCATTTTGTACAATTTTGAAATAAAATTAAACCAATTGTTTGGTGCTGTGGGTTATTTCCTCGGAGCCTGTGCTAACAAAGAATGGCTGCTCGTGTTCCCCCGTTCCACGTCCTCCAGGAGGTGAGAGCCACAACCCAGGGTGAGTGGGTGGCATGGGTGCTGGCCCCATTCAGTCATTGAAGAGCAGAATAAGGAAGTTGGACCACAAAATGTCCTGTTGGGACAATAACTAGTATTGAGGAGAAAATACCTTAGCATGAGCAGGGAAAATGGGGTGCTGAAGCCACGATGAGCAAGCATTAGCTTTTTCTGGGTCATTGTGGTTTTAATCTTGGTGTGTTTTCCTGGAAATGTTTACATGTTTCTCTTTCTCCAGCTATTTCTGTCTTCTCTCCCTTTTTCCAGCCCCTCAGTGGAGTGGAGGAGGGGACGTGGAGGCTGCTTGCTCTGCACCCTGCCTGGAAGGGGTGGAGTGGGGGACATGGTGGTGTATTCTCAGGGTGCAGATGTTGGATCTGTTAACCGGCTCGCCCCCAACCACAATCACATCCCATCTTCACACCGTTCTCCGCGGACAGTGCCACCCCAGGCCCGCACTCTGTTCCAGTGCCTCACTGCCGCCTGCTTCTGTGACATCTCCCTAACCACCACCCCCCCCAGTCCTGCTTTCTGCATCCCTGTGTGGCTAGCACCAGCCCTGTGCCCAGCGATGCACCAGAGCCTGAGCACCACCTGTGTCCACTCGGTGTTTCTCCGTGGGGAGTAGAACTGTCTCGCACCCACTGCCGTGACTTTGGTTGTCAGCAGTGGTCCTGGTATTGAGCAGCGAGCGCAGTTCTGTGGCCTGTGGAGGAGTTGCCTGCAGGAATGTGCAGCACTTTTCCAGCACTGGCCCCTCCCTCATAGTCTCTGGGCGAGTCTGTTTTGAAGAACCTTCCCACTGACAGGTTCATGGAGAGGGAGGATTGGAGCCACAGAGTTGCTGGGGGTGTTGATGAGGTGTCACTGCTTGGGGCTCTGTTAAGTGAAATGGAAAGTTTTGAGAGCTCTTGTGCGATGTCCCAACTTCCCAATCTCCACCCCCCCCACCCCCCACATCTGTTCAGCCTTTCTTTTCCCCCCTAACACCCACTTCCTTAGCAGTGCCTCCCCCCAAAAAAATATTGCACATGAAAAAGAGCATGTCCTAAGTAAATAGCTGAGTGACACAGTTGAGCAGGGAGGGCTGAGTTCAACTCTAGGCAGAGCTGCTTCCTGCGTGGCCAGGACTGCTTTCCTGTGTCCCCACAGAGCGGTGCCAAAGTTGGCTGAGAGTCTGGCTGATGAGCTTAACAGACGTCTGAGATCAGCGGCCGACCTCAGAGATCCACCGGCAGCGGGAATGAGGCAGTGCCCAACCAGGACTAGAGAAGGAAGGAAGGTGGCTGAGCCCCCGGCTTCAGCAGCGGACAGTGACAGACTGCCCCTCAGCTGCCACCACTCCAGGTGCAGCGTTGACCAGCAGGGGGAGCGAGGATCTGCAGGAGCTGGTGTGGGTCTAGGTCAGTGGTCGGCAAACCGTGGTTTGAGAGCCACATGCGGCTCTTTGGCCCCTTGAGTGTGGCTCTCCCACAAAATACCATGTTGGGCGCGCACGTACAGTGCGATTGAAACTTCATGGCTCATGTGCAGAAGTCGGTTTTTGGCCTGGGCAAGTCTATTTTGAAGAAGTGGTGTTAGAAGAAGTGGGGGGTGTGAGTCAGCCTAGCGAGGGGAGACTCGGCGCAGGCGGGCTGCAGGATACGCAGCGCGGGGGAGCGGGGGAGACTTGCGCGATTCATGCACGAGTTGAGCGAGCCAGTCATTCAGCAGTCTCATTGTGCAGTGGTTAGTGCTAGTCACGTCCGCAAATCGCACGCAGGTGACAAAAGTAAAGTTTATTAAGTTAATTTTAGGGAAAGTTGTGGAGAGAAGATGTGGTGTCGAGGATTGAGAAAGGTATGTTGAGATGGTTTGGACATAGAGAGGATGAACGAAAGGAGATAGACGAAACAAGTATACAAGACGAGTGTGGATGGGAGAGTTGGAAGGGGTCAACCTCAGCGAACGTACCTCAATCAGATTGAGGACGTTTTTAGCAAAGGCCAGTTTAGGAGTACCCTAATTAAAGTTAATAGCAATGTACCTACTATATAGCTTAAGTTAAAAAATGTGGCTCTCAAAAGAAATTTCAATCGTTCTGTTGATATTTGGCTCTGTTGACTAATGAGTTTGCCGACCACTGGTCTAGGTCCTCTCTCCCTCACGGTCCCAAGTGAACCATTGTCCACACCTTGTGTGGAAGGGAGGAGGAGAGCTCTGAAAGACTGGACATTTACCTGGGAGTCATCCTAGAGTTACCCAAAGAGAACTTTCAGTTTATTGGACCAGACTGAAATCACCACTTCTATTAAATCAATAGAAAAACACATTTTTCTTTGCATATATAGGTGCAGTGTAAACATACAACTCCTACAGGCTGGTAAAATGTGGTGCCCAGTCTTTAACACAAGAGTCCAGGTGAGATCTGGCCAGCACAGGCTGGAGAGGACCACGGGTCCCTCATTCCACATTTTATAAGACGCATCTTGGTTAATCTAGCCCAAGACCGCAGACTCATTATGAACAAAACTTATCAAAACTTTTTCCCATGGCTCATGGAAAAGACCAACCCTTGATAATTAATCTTCATCAAATATTTTCCTTCACTGAAGTTCAAGGTAATACATGTTATAAAACACTTTGAAAAATGCAGAAAAGAATGCAGAAGAAAAATCACTCGTAACACTGCTATCATCAATTACCATTGAATGCAGTCCATTGTTATCACACACACACATGAAATTGCTCAGCATTTAATAACTTTAAAATTTTTTACAAAATATTTTAACATTTCCCTATATCGTTAACTATTCTGCCTCAATGTAATTTTTAAAGACTATATAGTAGAGTTTCTCAACACTGTTTCTTGGCACTATTGACATTTGAGGGCAGATGATTCTTTGTTGGTGGGGGGCAGGGGGGGACACTTTCCTGTATATTGTAGGGTTTTTGGCAGTACCTCTGGACTTCCCCCCTAAGATGCCAGGAGTACCTCCCTCCCCCTGCAGGTTATGATAACCAAAAATGTCTCCAGACTTTGCCAATTGTCCCTTAGGAGGGAGGGGTGGCAAAATCACCACCCCCCACCCCCCGCTGAGAACCATTGCAAAATAGTATATCATGCTATGTAAGTATCATCATCTATAC